AACAAAGCACACAAACTCTTCCAGCATGCCCTAGCGCTTGATCCAAACCATGCAGATGCACTGAATGAATATGGAGAGTTCATAGAAGCAACTGACCAAGATCTTGTGAAAGCTGAACATTTGTACACATGTGCATTGCTGTTAGAACCAACACACAATAGAGCACTCGTAAACCGAAAACGTACCCATCCTCTAGTGGAAGAAATTGACCAAGGAAATTTCATGCGCATTGACAGAAAGCGAGACGAACTCTTTAGAATCCCTGACAACAATGCAGCGTTACGTCGCGCCAAGATGGAGATGTACTATCAGCATATCTACCATACTAATGCTATTGAAGGAAATACGCTAACGTTAGCACAGACTAGAGCTATACTAGAAACTGGTATAGCAGTGTCAGGCAAAAGTATCATGGAACACAATGAAGTTTTAGGGCTAGATGCTGCCATGAAGTTCATTAATAGTAGTTTAGTACATAGAATTGGCTCTATAACTGTACAGGATATATTAGATATTCATCACAGGGTCCTCGGTAATGTAGATCCTTTAGAGGCTGGTCGTTTCAGACGAACACAAGTATTTGTAGGGAGTCATGTTCCAGCACCCCCAGATCAAGTCGAGGATTTGGTTTCCGATTTCTCAGAGTGGTTGAATTCTGAGGATAACCAAGAGTTACATCCCATTGAATTTGCCGCATTAGTACATTACAAATTGGTTTATATTCACCCTTTCATTGATGGCAATGGTCGGACTTCTAGGCTGCTAATGAATCTGATTCTAATGCAAGCTGGCTTCCCTCCTGTCACCATTAAACATGAACTCAGGCATGAGTATTACGAGTATTTAGAAAAAGCCAATCAAGGTGACCTTCGGCCGTTTATACGGTTTATTGCACGATGTACTGAAAAAACGTTGGATGAATATTTATGGACTTCAAGGGAGACACAAGTGGTGTCTTTACGTCATAATAATAGACATTATAATGATGGTAAAACAATCATTGTAGAGGAAAACTGATGTCTGACCTTTGTTATTTTACCTGTCACGACTTTAATTAAATGGTAAACACTTTGATATGGTATTTAGATTTACGGTAGTACCCTCGCATTCAAATATGTACACATTGTAGATGGGCAATATTAATGACTATCTTCACATGGAGTGATATATAGAA